CTCCTCCTCGCTGCGCCCTGCTACTGCTCCCCTTCAGACCCTGCACCTGGACGTTTGGGGCCCTGCCCCCGTACCCGGACCGCGAGGTGAGCGCTACTTCCTTGTGTTCGTCAACGACTACACGCGCTACACCACGGTGTTCCCCTAGAGCGGAAGGCCGACGTGCCCGGCGTTCTTCTCCCGTGTGTTGTGGCTGCGTGTCTTCACCGCGGTCTCCCCGTGTTGTGTCTCCACTCTGACCGTGGCGGCGAGTTCGCCTCTGCTCGGCTTGGACAATTCTGTCATGCGGAGGGCATCACCCAGTCGTACACGTTGCCGGACTTGCCAAAGCAGAATGGGGTTGCTGAGCGCCGCATCGGCTTGGTCATGGAGGTCGCCCGTACCTCCATGATTCATGCCGATGCTCCCCATTTTCTGTGGCCGTTCGTTGTTCGCTATGCTGCTCACCAGCTTAACCTGTGGCCACGCTCCCAGTGGCCGCAGGTTTCACCGACCCTCCTTTGGACCGGGTCTCCCGGTGACGCGTCTGCGTTCCACGTCTGGGGCTGCCTTGCTCACGTTCGTGCCTCTGGCACGGACAAGCTCACTGCCCGCACTGTCCCCTGTGTCTTCCTCGGTTTCCCCCTGGACTCGTCTGATTGGCTTTTCTACCACCCGCCGTCTCACCGCTTCCTCCACTCTCGTGACGTCACCTTTGACGAGTCTGTCTCCTTCTACCGCCGCTTCCCTCACCGAGATCTCCCGGTTGCCCCCCCCCTGTTCCTTGCTCCCTCTCCCCCGGTAGCCCCTGCCCCTCTCCCGCCTCGTCCTGCCCCGTCTGGTGTCTCTCACGTCACTCCCCTCCCGTCGACTGTCCCCGTTGAGGAGTCTGCTGACTCTGGTGGCACCCCCGGCCCGTCCTTGCCGCGTCCCTCTTCCCCGGTGTCCCCGCCTCCACTGTCGCAGTCGCCGTCCCCGCCGCAGCCGTTATCGCCGCCGCCGCCGTCGCCGCTACCGCCGCCGTTGTCGCCACTGACGCCGCCGCTCTTGGCCCCTGGGGGTGCTGGTGTTGAGGAGGGTGTTCGTCCGGCGGCTCCTGGGGGTGCCGCTGGTGTTGGAGGGGGTTCTCGCTCTGGGGGTGTTGGTTCTGGGGGTGCTGCTGTTGAGTGTTCTGCCGACGGTCGTCCTGCCTCTGCCGGTCCGAAGGTTCCGGCCCAGCCGTCGCAGCCGCCGCAGCAGCCGTCGCCGCCGGTCTCCGCTCTCCGCCTGCTCGGCCTTCCCTCCCCGGACCGCGCGCCGGTGTCTCCCCCACCGCCTGCTGACCTTCCTGTCTACGGTTCTGTGTTCCCGCCGCCGGACTCGTCTCCGGCCCGTCTTCCTCCTGTATCCCCTCCGCTGTCCCCTGACCCTACACCTCCGTCTCACGTTTGGTCTCGCCGTCCCTCCCGTGCTCGTCCCGTCTCTCTTGTCCTGCCCACCCACCCTATGTTGCTCTGTTCCCGCTCGTCTCGTCCTCCCCTCCTCCCTCGTCCCTTGCTGTTGCCCCTTTTCCGTTCTCTAACTACCTCCGTGCCGCTCGTCCCCTTGTCCCTCGGGTCCTTGCCTCTCTTGTTACCGACCCTGATATTCCAGTCTCGCGCCTTGACGCGCTTGTCCCTGCTGTCGCTAACTCTGCCTCTACCCGCCGCCTTGACTACGCTACCACTCTGGTCTCTGACCCTGCCCGTCCTGCGTCCGTCGGGGGTGCTCCTTCCCTTGACAGTGACGTCCTAGAGGACAGGCAGTACGAGCTTGCTTTCCTTTCGGAGGCTGCTCCCCATCTCTGCTCCATGCTGTTAGTCCCTGAGGGTGACCCAGACGCCTTCGACATCCCGACCCCTCGCACCTACGCTGAGGCCACCTCGGGACCTTGGGCCTCTCAGTGGATAGCTACCATGGAGCAGGAGATGGCATCTTGGAGGTCCACCGGCACTTACGTCGACGCAGTTCCCCCGCCTGGGGTGAACGTAGTCGATGGTCGGTGGCTCTTCAAGGTGAAGCGCCCCCCTGGAGAGCCGCCTGTCTTCAAGGCACGCTACGTGGCCAGAGGCTTTAGCTAGCGCGAGGGGGTTGACTTCTTCCAGACCTTCGCCCCGACCCCGAAGATGACCACTCTTCGGGCGCTGCTACACGTAGCAGCACAGCGCGACTACGAGCTTCACTCCCTCGACTTCTCTACTGCCTTTCTTCAGGGCAGCCTACACGAGCAGGTCTACCTGCGTCGACCTCAGGGCTTCACTGGTACCTTCCCTCCTGGGACCCAGTGGCTTCTCCGGCGTCCGGTCTACGGCCTGCATCAGGCTCCTCGCGAGTGGCACGACACACTGTGTGCCACGTTAGCAGACCTGCAGTTCTTTCCGTTCTCTGCTGACCTCTCGCTGTTTGTGCATTCCGGCCAGACTCCGTTCTACATCCTTGTCTACGTAGACGATCTGGTCTTCGCTACTGCTGACAGGGACGCACTGGCCTCTGTGAAGGCCGAGCTGCTGAAGAGACACACCTGCACTGACCTTGGAGAGCTGCGTCGCTATCTTGGCCTGCAGATCTCTAGGGACAGAGCAGCACGCACCATCACTCTGACCCAGTCACACTTGGTGCGTCAGGTCCTTCAGAGGTTTGGTCTTCAGTTCTCCTCCGCACAGCCCACACCTCTACCTGTAGACCATGGGCTGTCCGCTCCCGTTCCTGAGGAGCCAGTAGAGCCCAGTGGCCCCTACGCAGAGCTGGTGGGTTGCCTCATGTACCTGATGACTTGCACTCGCCCAGATCTCGCACGCTACAGGCAGACACTGACCTCAGCACTGGTCTGCCGCTAAGAGGGTTTCGCGTTATCTTGCTAGTACATCGGGCATGGGGTTAGTGCTAGGAGGACGCATGCTAGTGGTCCTTACTAGGCACACAGACGCTTCTTGGGCAGACGACTCTGAGACGCTCAGGTCGTCGCAGGGCTACTGCTTTAGCCTTGGTTCGGGTGCTATCTCTTGGAGATCCACTCGCTCGTCGTCTGTGGGTCAGTCCAGCTGTGAGGCTGAGATCTACGCTTGTGCTATGGCGGCACAGGAGCTCCGCTGGCTGACCTTCTTGCTCACAGACTTAGGTGAGCGGCCTAGCTCTGCCCCGGTCCTGTACGCTGACAACAGGGCCATGATCCTCCTGTGTCAGGAGCCTCGGCTTGAGGGCAGAGCAAAGCATATCTAGCTGCGGTACTTCCTCCTGCACGAGCTACAGCAGCGCCGCCAGGCCCGCGTAGTTCACTTGGCCTCAGGTGCCAACACAGTTGATATCTTTACTAAGGCGCTTGCGCGTAAAGATTATCAGCGGCACTGTGTACAGCTTGGTCTTGTTCCTGTAGCTACTCACCTGTTAGGATCCTAATTGTGTACTCTCTATTATATATGCCTGTCAGACTGGCCTTGTGGCCTTACCTCTAGTGGCTGGACTACTAGTGCCGCCCTGGCTTGCTTTAGTCTTGTTTGTACCCTTGCTGACTAGTCTCCAGACCCCTGCCTTAGTGGTTGGACTAGTAGTGCCACCCTGAGCTGTTTGCTTCTTGCTTAGCTTCCCCCCTTGTCTAGCCTAGAGGGTGTGTCAACTTATACATGTTAGCTGTGTACAAGTTATAGGCTAGACTGGGGTATGCTTCTAGTGAGTACAACCAACTAGTATTTGTACTAAGTTTCTACTTCTAGTTCATTATTCAGTTCTTATTTTGACAGCATATATGTATAAGTTGATATGAGCAACACCTTGCTGCTTTTATGTGATTTAAGATAGTTACAAATATATAGGGTTAGGTCTATGAAGCTCTAGTAGCAATAAAGCCCCCACCTTTGCATGATCAAACAGACAAACATGTATATTCAATTCATCCGCATCATATGTAATGCAAGTCGTTCCAAACATACAAATGTTTTTTTAGAGGATAACTGCAGTTTTTGTTATCTTTGGATGTGTGAACATTTAGCTCATGGGCGTTGTACATCCCCAACCAAAGTATTGATGCATGTAAGAGTGTGGCTTTGGGCATTACCGTGGCTTCATCGCAACTCTCGCCCCAAACCAGGGCCTGAGCTAGGTTTTTTGCTAGCTCGGACGATTTGGGCCCATCTGAAAAAACCCCTGTAAAACCCGAGCCGAGCCAAAAATTGCTCGGATGAATCAGGGTCCAAGCCGAAAAAGGCCTGAGCACCACCAATTATTGCGGGGTGGGGAAAAATGTGCCCGCGCCAATACTTCGGTTGGGCAATCGGGTTTGGCCTCGCTCCTGCAGCGCCACGGCCGAGGGGAAGAAGGGGGAGGGGATCACCCACCACCCAAGATGGTGACTCAATCTGTAAGTGATACAGAATACAGGTCATATCCGAGAGGTGCAACGACAATTAAGCGCAAGGATTCGCGAATCTAGGGTATACCACGGGCAAATTATTCGCTTAATGTGCTAAAAGATGCTTAGCGGAATTCGCTATGTTCGATTATGACCCCGGCTTCCAGCAATGCGGCCCCCGAATGTACCGGGCTTAGAGAGGTGTGGGGCGAGATTTGGGGGAGGGAATTGAGGAGAGTGGCGAGTTTTGGAGGGGGCAAAAGTTGAGGCCAGAAAAAAAGGGGATTGGAAGTGTTTGGAGGGGTGGTTTGAGGGGGGGGGGTGGGGTTGGCGGGGGAAGGGAGGGGGTGGGGGGGGGAGAGGTTTGGAGAAGGGGAAAGGTCCGGGTTTCCCTGTAATTCCCCCGGATATGTACGGGTCCCACGGAATCTCTCCCTGTGTAATTCCGAGCTGGCTGGGGAAAAGCCTATGTGAAATACGGGCTACGATAAAAAACACCTTGGATTTTCAGTCAAGACAGGGTGATAACCCTGTTATTTTCAGCCCTGCCCCCAACCAAACCCAAGGACGCATCACCATTTCACTTCGTAGCGCGGTCGAATACTGGGGAGCCTCTCGCATAAAACGTGGACTGCCTTCCTATTAGTTAGCCACAAGCTCCTCCAGTCTCGACTACCTCGTCCTAAACCATCTCTCAGAAAACAGGCCAGCTGCTTCAAATATGGCCTCAGGTAGCATCACGCTCTTCATCCGCACTCATTGTTTGCTTCTGCATTTCTAACTGATACTCGATACAGATATGCGCGTGGAACCCAAGGCTTTGATTCTTGTCGGAGGCTATGGGACACGCCTTCGGCCCCTGACGCTGAGGTAGGTTTTCAGGCAGCAACACGTGACGCAATGACAGATTGCCCGATCAGTTCAATTCTGATGTTGAAAATCCATGCAGCAAACCTAAACCACTCGTCGAATTTGCGGGAAAGCCAATTCTGCTACACCAGGTATTTGTCCTTATCTTATCATGACGCTGACTCACCGCGGTACGCTCTGTCTAACATTTTTCACAGCTAGAGGCTCTGCGGGAGTGCAACGTAAAAGAAGTGGTCCTTGCGTTGAGCTACATGCCGCACGGATTCAAGCAATTCCTTGAAACATACGAGGAAGAGCTCGGCATGACCATTACGTGCTCTCGGGAAGAGGAGCCGCTTGGGACGGCTGGGCCTCTGGCTTTGGCTAAGAATGTTCTTCTGAAGTCCACTGCTTCTGCGCCACCACAGCCATTCTTCATGCTCAACAGCGACGTGATCTGTGACTATCCATTCAAAGGTAGCATCCACGCTGGTCACTTTCCGTATGATTCTGCTGAATGTTCACAGAATCTTACGGGATGTATGTTCTGGTGCAGGATTGCTTGACCTTCATATGAGCCGTGGTGCCGAAGCGACACTTATGGTGACTCGTGTTGAGGATCCGAGCAAATACGGTGTTGTGATATTGGACGACGCAGGTGCTGTCAGCCGTTTTGTGGAAAAGCCAAAGACGTTCGTTGGTGACACCATCAATGGAGGCATTTACATTCTAAGCCCTTCCGTCCTTGAGCGGGTTGAGCTGCGACCCATGTCAATTGAGAAGGTCCTTATCATCTCACAAGTATGACTTCGACTAACGGCTGTGAGGCTGATTTTCGTTTGGACTTCCGCAGGACATTTTCCCCAAAATCGCCATGGATAAGAAGCTATATGCCATGGTTCATACCGGCTACTGGATGGATGTTGGGCAGCCCAAAGACTACCTGGAAGGGATTAAGACTTATTTGCATCACAAGAGAACATCGCATCCAGAGATGCTGGCCACTGGAAACAACATTGTTGGGAATGTGATTGTTGATCCATCTGCAACCATCTCTAAAACTGCTTCTGTTGGTGAGTTTGCTGCTCCATTTTACGTGCTTCTAATTCATGTGGCAATGATTTTGAACCCTACATTCACTTGTGGCAGGCCCTGATGTTGTCGTTGGGCCCAATTGCATCATCCACGGTGGTGCGAGGATCCATGGAAGTGTCCTCTTGGGAGGTTCTCGAATTGGCTCAGGAAGCCTGATTTTGAACAGCATTATCGGATGGAACTCAACAGTTGGGAAGTGGACTCGCATCCAGAAGAATTCAGTCTTGGGTGAGGATGTGACAGTGAACGATGAAGTGCTTCTCAATGGTGCAAAGGTCTTGCCCCACAAGGAGGTCAAGGCAGATGTTGACACTCCACAGATAATTATGTAGCCAAGCTATGGCTGTGAATGGGGTATTGGGTGGACGAGATACTGTCATATGTACGATTTACTATTGTAATAAAATATATCTAGTCAATATGTGCCGACTGTACCAAGAGTGTCCAACGAGGGTACTAGGCTCATGCTGGTACCGGTAATGCTGACTGCAACCGCTCTTCTGCAGCACATAGAGCTTCAAGTCCAGGCACCTCCATAATCATTGGGAGCTCTGGTCGCCATGGCAGCTCATCCTTCTCCCAGATTGACCAATGGCTCTGCTTCATGGTCGGTGTTGGCCTTGGGCTTGCATGAAACAGCCGCAGCTGTCGGAACAAGAAAGCCATTTCCAGATCGTCCTCATCCTCCTCATCTGAAGTACTTCCTCTGTCAGCCTGCTCTGCAGATTGATTTGAAATCTCTGAATCGGATCCCTCACTCAAAAGAGGAGAGGATCCTGAACTTGGGTGGTTGACCTGCTCTGAATCACCGAGTCCCAGGCGACCTCCTCCTGCCTCAACCCTTTCTCCAGTGTCAGAATTTCCCACCCCTTCACCTTCCCCATCGCTGCACCCCTTCATCGGCTTCCCTGCTGACCTTGCATCAGATGACGAAAAAGAGCCCTTTTTGCAATCTTTGGCATCACGATGTGCCTGCTGCATCTTGAGCCTGAAAGCAGCCTCATAAGCCGCACATCTGGCGGCTATCTCGAGCGCTTGTAGGCTTTCATCGTCATCACTCTCATCCCACTCTGACCGTATAGATGGCTCCAAGACCAAGGACATGCCATTGGAATTTTGACATTTTCCACACTCCTCGTCTTCCTCTCCCGTATCATCCTTCTCCCCCTCCTCATCCTCCTCTTCCACGTCGTCTTCCTCTTCCTCTTCTTCCATACACTCCTCCGCATCCTCCTCGTCTTCCTCAACTTCTTCCCTATCCTCGTCATCCCCTTCCTCCCCCTCCTTCTCCTCATCTCCCTCCCCCTCCTCGTCTTCCTCCTCCTCATCCCCCTCCTCGTCGTACCCTTCCTCCCCCTCTTCCCCCTCATCCCTCTCCTCCTCTCCTCCATCCTCCTCCTCTTCCCCCTCCTCCTCCTCCTCCTCATCCCCCTCCTCTTCCTCCTCCTCTCCCCCCTCCTCCTCCTCCTCCTCCTCCTCCTCCTCCTCCTCCTCCTCCTCCTCCTCCTCCTCCTCCTCCTCCTCCTCCTCCTCCTCCTCCTCCTCCTCCTCCTCCTCCTCCTCCCCTCCCCCCCCCCCCTTCCTCCTCCTCCTCCTCCCCCCTCCCTTCCTCCTCCTCCTCCTCCTCCTCCTCCTCCTCCTCCTCCTCCTCCTCCTCCTCCTCCTCCTCCCCTCCTCCTCCTCCTCCTCCTCCTCCTCCTCCTCCTCCTCCCCCCTCCTCCTCCTCCTCCTCCCCCCTCCCTTCCTCCTCCTCCTCCTCCTCCTCCTCCTCCTCCTCCTCCTCCTCCTCCTCCTCCTCCTCCTCCCTCCTCCTCCCCTCCCCCCCCTTCCTCCTCCTCCTCCTCCCCCCTCCCTTCCTCCTCCTCCTCCCCCCTCCCTTCCTCCTCCTCCTCCTCCTCCTCCTCCTCCTCCTCCTCCTCCTCCTCCTCCATCCCCTCCTCCATCCCCTCCTCTTCTTTATCTTTCTCCGCATCCTCCTCCTGATCCTCCTCCTCCCCCTCACCCCCTTCTCCAAATCCCTTCTGCTGTGTCTCCTGAAGCTTATCCTCCTCATCTTCCTCATACTCTTCCTCTCCCTCCACCGTTTCCTTGTCCTGCTCACCACTCACCGCCACCTTCCACTGTCGATCCCTTGCATCCATGCCCTCCTCTTCCATCAGGCCTCTTCCCCCATCCTCCCCTTCAACGCCCTGCACGCGCCCCTCGTGCTCTTGCACCCCTCGCTCCTCGCCGCATGCCTGCAGCAGCTCCAGGAAGATGCTCATCGGCACATCCTCACAAGCCCTCTCTTCAACGCATGGCTGCCCCATGGCCAGGGTCGCGTCTAGGATTTCTTCCCATGGCTGCTTCTCTCTCTTCTCGTGCCAGCTCGCTCCTGCCCCCTCCTGGACTCCAAATGTGGTCCACAGTCCATCAGACCCCTCTCCAAAGCCCTCTTTCAGCTCTTTCTCAGCCCCTGAATCCCCCACAGCATCTAGCAAGACTCGACGCCCATCCCTCACACCATCATCCGCACTGCATGCCTCCGCCTCATCCGCTCCCCCCAGTTCTGCCCTCGCGTGCTGCATCCCCAATCTCTCTCTCAAGCTCTCCTCGCTCCCTTGTGACATCTGAGTCGACTCGCACGTCGCCTCACCTGCTCCATACAGCTCCTCCTTCGCCTGCTGCATCACCACTCTCTCCCTCGAGCTCTCCTCGCTCCCCCACGACCTCCTCCTCGCCTGCGCATCAAAGAACTCCTCATCCTCACTAGTAGCAGACTCGAACACCTCTGAGCTGTTCTCCTCCTGCACACTTGACGCCGCAGTACTCCCCATATGCGTCCTTCCTGTTACATTGAGCCCTGCACCCACCGCCAGCCCAGCCAAACCACTGCCAAAAGCCACCCACTCATATGACACTCGCACCCCATCCGCGGTGTTGTGCCACTTCTTCCCCTCGCCTGACATCACCATACAGTTGAGCTCGCCTAGCGGCTGCCGGTGTCCCATGCCCCCCTGCTCCCCCAGAAACCCCCCATCCCCCTCCACCAGACCCCCAAACATCTCATCCCTCCCGAGCGCGCCCCAGCCTGTGGTCATAGCGCCCAGCACTGCAGGCTCGCACCTGCCGTGCGCCAGGTGGTCCAGAGGCATTTCCTCCCACTGCGCGGCGAGGCGGAAGGCCTCGTGGGACGGCTGACTGAGGCTGCCGCTGAACAGCTCGCCCAGAGGCCCGCTGCCCGCCCGGCTGTAGCACCCACTGCTGTGACTCAATGGCCCGCTGCCCTGCTGGCTCAGTGGCCCACTGCCTGCCCGGCTGTAGCACCCACTGCCTTGGCTCAAAGGCCCACTCAGTGGCTGGCTGTAGCTTAAAGGCCCACTCGGTGGCCGGCTGTAGCTCAAAGGCCCACTCGGTGGCCGGCTGTAGCTCAAAGGCCCACTCAGTGGCCGGCTGTAGCACCCACTGCCTTGCCGGCTCAAAAGCCCACTGCCCTGTTGCATGAGAGGCCCGTTCCGCAGTTTACGCCACGGGCTCCTGACTCTCGCACCCAGTGGCCCGTTCCCTGACTGCGCCAGTGGGCCGCTGAAAGGGCCCCTCACAGGCCCACTTAGAGGGCCACTTAGAGGGCCACTTAGAGGGCCACTTCGAGGGCCACTTCGAGGGCCACTTAAAGGGCCACTAAATGCGCCACTGGCCCTCCTGGTGGGCTCACTGTCAGACGCACTCCGGCTATTGTGGCTGGCGCGCCTGCACCTGCATCTGCTGCTGGGGCTGTAGCTGCTGCTGCTGCTGCTGCCTGCTGCACTGCTGTCCACGCCGCTGCTGTGGCGCGGACAGCACTGGTCGCTGCTGTAGCTGCTGCTGCTGCTCATGGTGCCGCTGTGGCTGCCCCAGTGACGCCGCCCTGCTACCTCCGATGACCGTTCCTGCCGCTCTTCCCCCGCCTGCTTCTGCTTCGCTTCCCCCGTCACCCCCCCCTTCTCATGGGCCCTCGCTCGCCATCTCTGCTGCTCCGGCCTCCTGTCTGGTCGGGCCGTCTTCTCACAGAGTGCGTTACGTGCCTCTTCCTCGATCCACTTCATTCCGCTCTGCAGCTGCAGTGCAGCGTTCGAGTCCACGGGGCCTTCTGTCCGCCCATCCCTCACCGCGGCCTCACCTCCCGCCTGTGACCCTGACTCCTCCTCGTCCTTCCCGGCCCTGCCAGTCAATCCCCAAAACGCACTGTGCAGCGAGTCTGGAGCCAGATCTGCATCAGTGCTCTCGCGGCCCTCCGCCCCACTGCCGACCATCGCAGCACCAGCAGCCGGACGCTCCTCCTCCTCCCTGCCGCCTTGCTCTTGCCCCGCTGGCGAATGGCCCCCCAGCAACAGATCAGCTTGCATCAGGTTATCTCGCATATGGTCTGCGTTCCCCCCATTCGCGCGCCACCTCTTGCTCCATCTCACTCCCTGCAGTCGCCACGTCCCCGTTACTGTGCTCTCCCATGGACGCGTTACTGTGCTCTCCCATGGACGCGTTACTGTGCTCTCCCATGGACGCGTTACTGTGCTCTCCCATGGACGCGTTACTGTGCTCTCCCGTGGAACCGTTGTGCATCCACTCGCCTCACTCCCTTCCGTTCCTACCAGGGCAGCATCGCTGTTTCCCCCCACCTCCTCTCCGCTCCCTCTCTCCCCCCTCTTTCTTTCGTCCTCGCCCTCCCCCACTCTTCTGTCGTCGTTCTGCTGCCCGCTACCCGCCCTGCTCGCCTCCTCATGTGCGCGGCATGGCCTGACGGCCCTGCTGTCTTCCACCTTCGTCTTCCCTTCCTTCCCACTCCCCCCCCCCCTTCCTTCTCTCTCTCCTCCCCCCCTTCCGTCTCGCTCCCCTCCTCCACATCCTCACCGCACCCTCGCTCTCCCCCCTCCTCCTCTCCCTCCTCTTCCCCTCCCTCTTCCTCCCATTCTTCCTCCTCCTCCTCCTCCTCCTCCTCCCGCCATCCCTCCTCGCCTTCCTCTTCACCTTCCTCGAGCTCCTCTTGGCTCTGCTCCTCCGTGACATCCCCTTTCTCCCACGCTTTCTCCTCGTCATCCCATTTCCCATCCTCCTCCTCCTCCCATTCCTCCTCCTCCACCTCCTGTCCGTTGCTCCCATCTTCCCCTCCCTCCTCCCCCCCACATACCTCTTCCTCTCCTTGCTCATCCTCCTCCTCCTCCTCCTCCACCTCCTCCCATTCATCTTCTTCCTCACTCTCCTCCTCCTCTGTTCCTCCTCCCACTTCTTCTTCCTCTTCCCTCTTTCTCCTCCTCAGCGCCTCATTTGCTCCTCTGCACTCGCCTCTTTTGCCACTTTCGTCACTTCTGCCACTTCTGCTGCTTTTGCTTGGTGCGCTCACACCCACCTTCCTCGCAGTCTCCCACTCCTTCTCGCCAACTGTAAGAGTAACATCAGTAACTTCGCTCTCAAACGGCCGGAGCCCTTTCGACGAATTTCGTGACGCTTCCAGCAACCCCCTCGAGTCGTCCACGTCGCAGCCCTTCGCATCCCCGTTAACGGACGCCTCGGTAGAATAGCCCGGCGACTCCAGCTGAAAGTGCGAGCGGAATTCAATCGTACGGCTGTGATCGCTCCACTGGTCGGGGCTATCATGCCAGTGGACGGCCGGATCGGACGACGACGGTACCTGCTGTGAACAGGCATGGCACGCGCACGTGTGTCTCAACACGAGTACAGGACAAGCGGATGCGGTGAGTCGACACCGATCTAACAAAACGCATGCCACGGCGGCAGTAGGTTATCGAAATGGTTGCGGTGTTTCCAAAAAGAAGGGGGGGCTACTTGCAGGGGACACAAGGAGGGGGAAAGGGGGATAGCAAGGGAATTAAAGCAAATATAATTGGCGCGCTTTGCTAACCTCGCGCTCCTGTTGTCCGCGCCAACTGGCTGCTCGTCCGCTCTCGACCCCCCCCGACTCCCCAACCCTTGGTCGAACTCCCTCCTTGTCCTTCTCCTCACGCTCTACCCGTTCCGCGATCCCCCCTTTCTTCCCCCCATCCCCCTCTCACCTGTCGCCTCCGCACGCCGCCACGCGCCAGCGCCACGGCGGCTTCGCGCTCCTTCACCGCCGCCAGCACCTCCCAGTGCGCGCGCCTGTCGAATCGAATCATTCGCTCCTTATCGAATCCATCCCCGCTAAGAGCGTTCTCCGCGGTCACTATATAGGTCCACCCCTTGCACAGCCGCTTAGACAAGCGAAGGCTCTTCTTCGCGTGGCCATGAAACAAGCCGGGAGTTGCGGCGCGCAGCGAGAGGGCGATCTCCAGTGGCTCAGACGCCGCGGAGCACGACAGCGTGGACCGAGACGATGATGACGTGGACGCGGGAATCATTGACGTGGATGGGAAGGCTAGTGACGTGGATGCTGCGCGGAGGCAGTACGGCAGCACGCGCCTGAGAGCCTGCTCTACTGTGAGGCGGGCAGCGAGGGAGAGTTGCATGCCATCGGGCAGAATAATAATTGCTTCAGCTGCCCGGCTGTCGGCCGCTGTACGCCAGGGCCACATGGTGGCGAAATAACAGATTTATTTGGCTTCAGTCAGTTCGAAACAAAGGCGAGGCACGACAAGGTGCGAAGTAGGTGGCACCGGACAAATGCCGTAGGTGGCCTGACTAATAACCTGCTTGTGCCGTCGCAATAACCTACTAGTGCCGTCGCAATAACCTACTAGTGCCGTCGCAATAACCTACTTGTACCATCGCAATAACCGACTAATGCCGTCGCAATATCCTACTTGTGCCATCGCAATAACCTACTAGTGCCGTCGCAATAACCTACCAAGTCATTTCACCAGAAATTCGCAAGACGTGGTGCGGGCACAGCGAGATACGAACTCAGTTGGCAACACCTGTCGTGTGCTCCAAGGTCAAACGGATTCTAAAAGGTGGCGACGCGCTACGAGACGCTAGCCGCCAGCAAGATTCTCCTAATCAAATGACTGGCTTCAAGGCAGCCGATTCTTGGTGCCTCCCTCGTCCCTCGTCCCTCGTCTCCCTCACGCAGCCTCGACACCCCAGTACCTGCGTTCTGCGCCTGCGGCACGAGGAACATGTAAGACTGGGGGGCACTGGGACTGTTGTGGCTACACCACCACGGAATTTCCTGCTCCTCCTGCGTTTCGTCCGCAAGAATGTACCTCGTGGCGGGCAGTGAGCCCTGTTGCTCCATTCACTCCCCAGCCCTTTCCACTGGGGGGGAATTTCCCCCCCACCCTCCATCTCATCCTTCCTTCCTCCCCCTGGGTTCTGGCAAATGTCAAATGAGATGTGCAGGACGCCGAGTCGGCCACAAGTACGGAACATGCGGCCTGTCCTACTGACGAATCGCGTACATAACGGCTCAAATATTCGCAGGCCCCAAAATTTGATAACTACATCTCAAAAGCCCTACCTTAACGTTACGAAAAAATAGAGCCTTTTAATTACGTGGCAACTAGGGCCTCGGATTGGTGTTTTTCCCTCGACAATAATTAATATCTTGAAGACATTCGCTAGAATTTACACGGGAAAACATCAGAGTAGACTCTTATTTTTTAACTAAACAATAAGTGATTCCCTAAAAAAAAGGCTCTCATATGCCTTTTTATGTAAAATTATACAGTTAATATAGAAGTCAGCAACATGTTTAGGGTGGCCAGGATTTAGATTTGGTGTAACCACGAGTAAAAATCAGCGGACGGATTTACACCTTGCATTGGAAATGTATGAAATGACAAGGATAATAATAATGAGTAATAAATGCATATTTCTAGTTTAGAAAGTACCTATTCGGAATGTATCTGTTCGTAGTGTATCGCGACTATTCGTGTGACATGACTAGTGACGGTTCGTGTTACTAAGAGTTGTGTGACCCTTGTGGTGACTATAAGCACGAACCTACGGTTCACGCGTTGACTCGCTACTGCTGACGTCATCATGCCCGTCCTTCCATATAAGGGATCGCGCTACTAGTAAAGTCTAACTATGATATAAGGAATGCATAAGTGATAACATTTTCGAATATTATTCACACTCCCCTTCATTCCTGAGTGTATGTCTCAGGGTAAGTGTCACATCGTTTGCAGATTCCAACCTGGTTGGAGCAGTACTGGAACTTGCCGCGTGGGAGTTTCTTCTTCAGGAAATCAGCCGCCATTTCTTCTCTAAGGCAGTATTTCAAGATGACCTTCCCTTTTTTCGATTTCGTCCTTGATGAAGAAGTAACGGAGGGTGATGTGTTTTGTCCTGTTGACGAAGCCGAGTTTGTTTGCAATTTTGATTGCACTCTAATTGTCGTAGAGTAACTTGAAGTTATGGGTCGTTGCAATTTTCGCCTCTTGCAGTAACTCTTGAAGATAGAGTCCTTCGCGAACGGCTGAGCTTGCTGCGACGAATTCTACTTCGGCTGACGAAAGTGCGATGACTTCCTGTTCTGTTGAGTTCCAAGAAAAAACACCACCCGGTTCAAGTTTGAAGATAAACCCTGTACGCGAACACCTGTTGTCGGGGTCAGTAGCATGATCCGCGTCAACGTATCCAGTCATTTGAAAACTTGTTGCAAAGTTTGTCGTGTAGCTGATGACAATTGTAGGAGTAGGAATGAAATATTGGAGGGCTCGACACAAATCGGCCATATTCTCCCCTTCAGGTCGGCGCATGTGCTATGCGAGCTGACTCGTGATGTAGGCAAGATCTGGGCAGCATGTAACAGCTGCAAATAGCAGCTGCTGCTGGTAAAGCTGATGCTCGGAGGCGGTAATTGGGGTAGTATCAGGTGTGTGCTCGGCTGGAATATGACAAAATGGAGTGGTGAGGCCGATGGGAGCGATGACGAACTTTTTCCCAAGTGGTTCTGCGTACTTGCTTGCAGAAAGGCAGATGGCATCGGGGTCGCAGTCAACGTTTAACCCAAGAAATTGGGTGAAGTTCAGAGAAATAGTAACTTCAAGAATCGTTTTGCTTCTTTCCTTCATGCATGCCGAAAGACTGTTGCACGAGCCGGTGTACAGTAAGTCATCCACATAGGCGACTAGAAGAATGTAATGCCCACGAAATTTGAGTCTGTACATTCCAGGGTCGTGGGGAAGATGCACAAAGTCGAGTGAAATCAGGACCTTGTGAAGATGCTACTGCCACAAGCGAGGAGCCTATTTGATGTCGTAGAGTGATTGAAGTAACTTGCAGATGTGGAGTCTGTCGCCGTAAATGTGAGGGATTTCGACGAAAATATCTACATCGATGTCTGCGTATAAAAACACATTCTTAACGTCTAGTTGGCGAAGTGGCTGATGGCGGCTAGCAGCAATGGCAAGAAAAAATCGAACTAAGGTATGGCGGCTGACCATAGCAAAAGACCGGTCGTACTCGATACCCATGGGTTGTTCAAAACCTCGAACGACCCATCTCCCTTTGAATCTATATGGTTTGCCTGATGCGTTTGTCTTTATGTGAAAGTCCCACTTGCCCGAAAGAAAATTTCTTCCCGCATGCAGCTTCGCGTAGAACGAGTTTCCACGTTTTCTGCTTCTCGAGAGCTGCTACCTCTGCATCCATAGGTGCTCACGACTTGTCAGCATTAGAGTCGGAGAGGGTATCCTTGACTGTATTTGGCTCGATCCCAGCCGTTGGTTGCTGAACTGCGACAGCAAGGCCAAGAATCTGAAGAGCCGATTGGTCACAACGAGGATGCTGTTGGCAAACTTCGACGACGTCATCGTCGTCAATTTCGGATAGCAGATGGCGGGCACCGTCATGTGATAATGCATCAGTTTTCTGTCGGTGCAGGTGCTCCTCATAATTATAGACAGCATGTGTCGTGGCAGGACGCAACGGCTCCAAGAGGGGGATGAAGAGCAGGGTGTCTGTGTTGTTGGCACATGTCGAATGAATATATGATTCGAACAGTGTTGCGTCACAGGAGGAAGGACCAGGTGCAGCTGCTAACGTAGACGGCTGCGGAATTGTAGAAGGTCCTGTTGCAGCGTTGTTGGGCAGATCATATTCTTTGGCTAGTCTTGAGGGGTGGCGAAAATCCGTTCTGCACTGTAGCGATCAGGATCCCGCTGCTGCCATTCCTTGTCGCGTTCGAAGTCATCGAGAAAAATTTTTTCGTAGAAGATGCAGTCTCGGCCATAGAAAACCGCGTTCCATAATCCATAATTATCAAAGAGTAGCATTCCTTGGGTACACCAACATGTATTCCCCATAGAGCCCTTTCAGTAAATCTGCCCACAGTTGCGCTCGGAGGTCTTTATTGGACCATGCCGCCCCAAACTCGTAATAATCGAGTGTCGGCGGGGTGTTTTGTCCACATGACGTGTGGCGAGCAGAACTGAGGGACAGCTATTTAAGATAGGTCGTTGTGTAGTATGACAGCTTGCGCCATCGCAAACGGCCGAAAGTCTGCTGTCAAGCTAGACTGTTGCAGCAGCACGCGCATCTTCTCTTACAATGTTTTGTTCGTCCTCTCAGCTTCTCCATTCTGCTGACGGGCGTAAGGAGCAGTCTTGCGCCTCATAATCCCTTTCAGCGCCAGGAATTCATCGAACTGCTCACTAGTGTACTTGCCCGTAGAAATTCATTGTCTGTCTGGATCTCTTTCAGCTTGATGCCGCTCTGCCGCTCCGCGATTTTCAGCCATATCTTGAAGGCGTCGAGAGCTTACGAATTATGAAAGATATTCTTGTGCCAGGCGTATGGAGTGGCACTGTTGCTGAAGGTAATTATATAGCAGTACTCGTTGCCACTGATATCCTTTGCTTCCTGCGACATGAAGAGTATGTCTGTCACACGATCGAATGAGGTTTGCTCAATATTGCCCAATTTATGAGTACAAGGTGCTTTTATACTTCCAAAGTACATCAGGTAACCAAGTTTATCCTATCCAAAGAGAATAGACCTTTCTAGAAATAGAATCACCCTGCGTATAGCCACGCGAGGCTATTGGCTTTAAGGGATTATGGCAGGATTACGCTAGATATAACGCGCCAGTACATCCCGAGGCTGGTCGGTGATATAATAATAATAACATGATAAACCAAAGGATAATGGAAAAGGAGGAGTAGGAAACCAAATGAGATGAGATAAAGACCAAATGAATCAGGATAAAAAGAGGAATGAATGGAAAGGAAATATGGAAAGGAGAAATTGGTGTAATGGTGTCGTACTCTCACAATGTCGCTGAAAACGACATCCATAAGCGAGTACTGTCAGCTCCTGTTACGAAGTAGTATCTCCCTGGCTTTGACGAGACGGGTTAACTGTGTTTTCGTTGTGTGCGAAATCTGCTCCTTCGCAGCAACTTGAACTCGGGAGCTTTGCATGAGAAAACGGCTACTTCTCTGCAATCCCATAGGTTGTCCGATAAATTTATATGAAGAAGTGTCTCATGAATGGAGAACATGTCTTCACGGAGCTCCATTGCTTTTCCTGGGTGAAGATCTCGCTGTGTTGATGTCGATCCATTTTTAACGAAGATGACTTCGTCAAAATAAATCGATCGTGATCGACACTAGTTAGACGATGCGTCGATTGTGCAGTCCCTGGTTACGAATGTTGTCTCAATGATGATGATTTTCCATAGTGTAATCACCGCTGTATTCGTGCCGTTGATTCCGCACCGATCCGACGATCCACGCTCTCCTGTCAGTTTTCTGCTTGCAGCTATTAGCAAGTAGGTAATACTTTGGCAGATTTCTGACTCTGCAGATGATTTGCACGCCAAATTCGTGACAAAAAAAAGAAATCAGAATTTGGTTGTCCAAATAATGTGAGCGGTGTCGAAGGCGGCTGTTTGTTTTGGTTCTGCGTGCCATTCTCCCTTTGTGCTGAAGTCGCTCTCCATCTCGTCCGTTGAAGCAGAAGTCGATCCGACGGTCCAAAATCCAAGCGATCTGAAGGTATTCCTGAGTCACGTTCAGCAGCTTTCGGTGCCTGTGT